TGTTGCAGTTTAAAGTTCCCTGCATTTTGGAAGAAAATAACTGATCTATCCTGATAAATTGTTTATGTAACACATTAAAACTTGCAATATTCTCATTATATGTAATATATGTTCTCAGATTAATTAATATTTTGAAGTATGAAATATTTTTTCGAAATTGAAAAATTGCCAGAAATGTTCTTGGTTGCTTTTCTACAGGGAAGCAATGCTTCCACCACATCCATGTACCCTACGCCCCTGGTATCAATGGCAGGCTCTTGTGAACACACTAATGAACCTTCAGGTTCCAAAAATGATGAAATTCTTGACTTATTAGCTTCTCAAGGATTCTGCTCAATGGAGTTAGTTAATGTAAACAGAGTGAAGTTAAAAAATGTATCATATGGATACTCAACATTTTCTACAAACCAGTAATAATGAAATGTAATTAAGTACTTAAAACAGAAAGATTTTTACAATGTAAGTGGAAATTAATGGAATCTACATCACTGTACTTTCAAGGTGGGTGAACGAAATAATAGAAACATTAAGAAATTTAATAGAATTTGTGTGTGCTGGCTATAGTGAAATGATTTCAGTTGGCAACACTGAATGTTCTTCCATTTCTTTACACTCTGTAGTGCTTGTGTCAGTGCATTAGTGATTGTGTTGAGTGACAGGCTGTGTGAAAAAATTTGAAAATGGGAAACTTGTCTGATTTTGATAGAGGACAGATCATTGGTGCACATGTCGCTGGAGCACCTGTGACAAAAACTGCCACATTAATGCATGTATTGAGAGCGACAGTTTCTAAGGTAATGTCGGCATACACAAATCATGGGAAGACAACATCAGCAAAGGGGAACAGTGGATGAAAATCAACAGTGACAGAAAGAGATTGAGAAGCAGCACAGGTGACAGGACGGCAGAACTGAATATTCATCTTGAAGACCCTGTTGCAACAAAATCGTTCCAACATGAGCTTCACAAATTCTATATCTATGGTAGGGCTGTAATTGCTAATCCTCTGATTACTGAAAGTAATGCTCAGATGAGTTATCCTTTATGCTATTTTTTACAGCAGGAAGAGTTTCCATTTGGGGAACACCCGAGGAAGCCTAAAATCTGGAACGCCTGGTTCCAACAGCGAAACACAGAGGAGGTTCTGTGATGGTTTGGACAGCAATATTGTGGTACAGCATTCTGTTGGTCCTATTATTACTTTTCATGCCTGAATTACTGCAAAGGAGTACATGGACAAGTTGGGTAAGCAGGTGCATCGCATGACGCAGGCACTGCTTCTGAAAAAAATGCAGTTTTCCAAGATGATAATATCCCCATTCACACAGCTGGAACTGTTCAGTCATGGTATGAAGAGCATGACAGTGAACTTCAACATCTTCCCTAACCAGCACAATCACCAGATTTGAACATCAATGAACCACTCTGGTAGTTTCGGAAACTTGATTGAGGAACAGAAGACTAGTATAAAATTCTGCTAGAGACTGTTCAAAACTTGTACAAGTCCATTTCAAGAAGGACTACAGCTGTACTGAAGGCAAATGCTGGACCACAAAAATAAAAAAATTTGCACAGTATTTGTAGTGTTTCTATTATTTTGTTCAAACCTCGCTAAGACTGATATCAAGATGGGAATAAGTTACGAAAGATGTCACACAGAAGGAAGGAAGGAAGAAAATACGGGAAGTGGAAGAGGAGGTGCTTTTGAAGGGTAGTGGTACATTGAGAGGCTTGGTTGTTAGATGACCCAAACAAAAAACTGAAATGTCAAAAGAAGAAGATCATTTCTGTAGGAACTTACATTGATCCAGAGGTCAGAATGCTGTGCGTATATGACTTGGACGGCAGATGCGGGTGGGTTCAAGCTGTTCTCTACATCGTACATGTTAGGTGGAGGTTCTGTGAAGTTATCCATAGAGAGTAAAACCAACTCCAGTCTCTGCTGTCTTCGGTCCAAAAGCTGCACCCATAGGCTGTAATTGAACATGCTCTTATGACACTGACAATTGTGTTGTAACTGCTTGAAATCATCAAGAAAGCTGCCAGTGACTGGTTCAGGACAGCATTTCTCTGCATTTCCATTCCGCAATGCAGGACTAAGTAAGCTGAAAAACTTTTTAATCAAAATATATTTCTACATATTAATAAGAGTTCACAAAATGGTAAGAGTAGCAAGATTTTGTTGACTCCCATTTTGTCATCTCATCAGCCAGTACTGCTGTTTCTTTGTTAGACTTTTGATGCCTTAATACTCTTAACGCATCTTTACATTTGTTTAGATAACACGTATATTATAAAGATTATATAAAGAAAGTATGAAAAACAATATGAATACAGAACATGTCATGATGAAGACAATACTAAAATAATCTTGTGATGTGAACTGGGTTTATGTTGAAGAAAGCAGTCTTCTGGGATTTGGCACCATGTATATGTGGTGTTAACTGACGTTTCGGAGGAACGTATCGCCTCCATCTTCAGGGTAGAAGAAAAAATAAGAAATCTGCAAGCGAAGAGACCGTGAGAACTGGTAAAAGCAGACTGCTTTTACCGGTTCTCACGGTTATGAAGCTCCTCATTATGCATTTTTCTCCAACCTCCTGTCACTTCATCTCTCTTCGGTCCAAATATTCTCTTCAACATGCTGATATGTAACTGAATCCAAAAAATTACATGAAGGCTCTCAGAATGAATAATTAAATTTATACAGAGTGATGTTCAATGGAGTTTCATTTATGATTTTGTATTGTATGCATCTTGGTAGGCACTGACTTGTGTTTCTGCTGGTTGGAGTATGACTAGTGTCATAATCAGGAGTGTAGGGGATAGTTTAGTTATGTGGTGTTATCCAGTGAGCTGAAGGTGATGCTATAGACTGCATTTCTGGTGTGATACCTTCACAGTTCATAGCCTTAGCGAAATGATTACTCACTGTTCTGCATTTGGAGTCCAACCTACTCTAACCAAGTACTCCATCCAAGGAAACATTCCTGAAAGTGGATACTGAAGTTCTAACATATAAAAATCCATAATTTGCATATTGTCATTCAGTCTAAATTGTACCATCTTCAGATTAGATCTCGAGTTAGGTGTGCCAGCACGTGGGAACCTGGAATAACCACAAAACCAATGCTTTATAAATCTTCATATTCAAATTACATACATTTCCTGGTGTATAATCAACTGCTTGAGCTAGGCATGAGAAATCTGGTTCAGATATCATACAACATACTTACATATTATCTATGAGCTATTATTTGTAAGTTAACAGATACAAACATGATAACAGTGAGGAAGTCTGAGGTTATATCTGACAAATTTAATGTACAAAGAATCAGTACTAAGTAAAAGTTCTTCATAAAAATTAAATAGAATGAACAACAATAACACAGTAAGTGATCTGTAGGACTAGAAATCTATAGAACAGTAAGGAAGGCTTCATGAGTTGTGCCTGGAACTCTTTGTTTTATTCTGTGATAATTGTTCTGTTCCAGTATACTTTATAATTAATTATCTGAGATTCAAGATTTGTATGGCAATTCCTATGAAGATTACTGTCTTCTGGGATATGAGGCCATGTAATTTGGTATAGAGTTACCAATGTGTCACAGGAATCAGTTACGTACATCTTCAGAATAAGAGTATGTATAAGATAATATCATCATATCCAAGATAACAGCAACTTTCATAATCAATTATTATTCTCATAGAATCATGTGTTTCACTTTGCAGTACAATTTTACATCTTTTGATAACATTTTTCTGCAATTTGTTGATTTAGTGGTGCATCCACTGTTATATGTTCTATGGTTTCACATGCTGCTTGAAACTGGTTGCTATCTGTCATCCTGGATATTATCATTTATAATGCACATCTTGTAATTTCTCTTACATATTACCCTGCCCTACAAAGTAGTTACAGATCATTCAGTTCCCTTGCTCTTAGGTTTCTCTGTCCTGTGTCTAACACACACCCTCTTCAGGATGAAGATGTCAGTTGCAAAGTATGCCAAAACAAAGGAAGAGCTTCAATATATGTTGTGATTAAACCCCAAATGATGAAGTCATATAATCCTTCAGTTTCACCAGAAAAAATTGGAAAGGGGGGGTCACATATTTGCACCATAAGTTACAAATTATGCTAATTTATCTATAAAATTCTGGCCAATAATTTCATTATTATTATGTTTATTAAACCTTACCTAAATTCCTCTGCTTCTCCAAAATTTCCAGATGGAAAACAGAATATTTTAACATCGCTTTCGTCTACTTCTTCGTAAACTATTCTGTAAATACCATCTGGAAATAAAAAGAAAATACAAAAAGTTAGGTGCCTTGAATCTACGAATGTGCATGAAAACACAGTCTCTAGATACATTAATATAATTTCTTTAATGTTATATTTTCAAAATTTTAGACTAATGAGCTCAACAGTAAACTGTCTGGATTTAAGGTTTTCCTCACTTGAACATTAAAATGAGTTTGTCCCTTGAAGAATCTTAAGCGGACATTTGATTGTACACATATGGATTATTTTAAAAGATGGCAGTAGGGACATACATAATAAAATACCGTATTACTTCAAATATAAGACACATTTTATGTTTTTTTTTCTATTGAAAAACTGAGGTGCGTCTTAAATTTGAGGGATGTCCATGTTTCTAATTTTTAATCCAAAACCAACATTCAAAAACTGAATGCATCTTAAATGTCAGTGTAATGCAGTTTCTCCATTTATACTTCTATTCACAGCAAATCATACAAATATCTTACCAATATTTATTGGTTGCCACCAGTAACCCTGATACCTGCTGAATTCTTCCTGCATCACATAAGATGGGATCCCAGCACTAAGAGGGTCGTCTGATATACTACGGCCACCTTTATGAGCAAACGTCAACCTTAAGGTGCTTCCTGAAAGATTACAGTACTGTACAATTCTATGACAAGGTCTTATTTTGGAACTTCCCTATCTGAACTCCTGTGTTTTTGTCTTGAACGATGTACTACAGCATTTAGTGTAAAACAGAATAAGAATTTATTTTCTTGAGAGGTATGAGATTCTCACAATGGTAAGCATCAAGATTATGGTTATGCAGGATATGGTGCCACTCAGTTTGGTAGAGAGTATTAATGTTTTTGAGGTACTTATCTAGCGACCTACAAGGCATCATATCTTAGAAGACCCCAAACTTGAATTTAATTCAAAGTTATGGAACCACTGTCTTCTCACCTTCCTAATATTTGGTGAGGGCTAAAAATTATAAAACTCCTCGTTACAAAACCTACTCCATCCTCCGTATGGCTAAATTTTATCTTCAGCACCTTATTTTCAAACAACCTCAATCTATATTTTTAACTTACAGCAAGGAACAAAATTTCACACCCATGCAAAACAATTAGAATTATGGCTTTCACAGACAATTCTGAACCAAAAGGCAGCATGTATTACATGAATTGAATTTGATCATAGTTTCACAAATACAATTTTGATATGATTGTAATTCCTAAGTATTTGAATTCTATTACGTTCTTAAAGGATTTATTGCCCACCTTTACATTGCCATTCTGTCCTGAATTCTGACAATGAGACATGACAATGTTAACACTTTTGTAATAATAACAATTAATTCATAACTGTATAATACAATATTCACGCAAAATGCCATAAATCAAGCATGCAGTACACATCATACAGCCTGTATATCTGAATTGCAGAAGCAACTTCAATTTAAATGCAAAACAGTAACTATGAATGATTACATTAAATGGAAAATTTCCCTGGCTATGTAACCTAATTCTTCATGTAGGAATTGATGGCATGAGCGAAGAAAACTGGCTAAGTATACACATACATATCTAATGCAGCAGAGTCTTCATTGGCTAATAAAGAGAGAACAGGAGACAGTCAAGCAGTCACCTAGCCCACAGATGATCCAGCTCACTGTTACTTCACCTGCAAGTGACGGTAAGTGTCATGAAGTAGTTATCTATCTCAGAGTTGACCTTTTTTTAGTCACACTTGGTATACGGAACATTATTAAACTGGGCTATTTGTGGGATAGGTGACGCTTATGCACACTGAATGTGTTTCGTTCTTAAAATTGGTCTCCGGTGATGATAAAAACATCAGATTTTTTTTTAGTTTTATGCTTTGCATCTGAAACATTAAGTGGTGTAGTATAACCATAATAAAATTAATACGGTCATTCTTATTAATTTAATTCTGTCTAGTTTTATTTTTATTGTTTAGAAAATTGTTGTGTAGATGGCCACTATGTACCACGAACAGAGTCCTTGACACAGTGTATTACCTGAGAGGATTTAACCACATTTAACCACCATAAACACTCCAGAAAATGCACCATTTGATAGGATGCCAAATGACTAATGATATCGCCAGACAGTACAGTCATCTTAAATGGGGCTACTGTACAACCAAAGGGTAGAGTTACCTGTTAATGTGTGTGACACCCATATGTCACTGTTACACACATAAGCTACAAGATCAGGGTTGGAGGGACAAATCTGAGGGTTCAGCCTTGCCCCACATGAATTCATTCGTAGTTCAGCTGGAAACAGGGGTCCATTCTGAAACAATTTATATATTGTATCATTTGATATTAGTTTGTATTCACTGTAATTTCTTTTACTAGAAGTAAGCATCAGTTGATCACAGTGGCCACATAGTCTAAGGCATGAAATGTCTTTGCCCACTCGAACACTGGGATTGTGGGTTTGAATCCCACTCAAGGCATAGGTGTTTGCCTGTTTATTCTCTGTTTGTATTGTCCTGTGTAGGTAGCAGCCTTGCACCAGGCTGATCCCCCATCCAAGGAGTCCTACCAACTGTCTATGATTAAGATACTAAAGTGAAAAAAAAGCATTTCATAGATGCCCTAAGCTCCAATAGATGGACAGACAGACAGATAGATAGCTGTAAGCATCATCATGATTCTGTTCTTGTATGCTTACTTATAGCATGTACAGACACCTCCTTTAAAGTGGAAAGATGAGAGTATGAAACAGTGCAAATTACCATGCTAGTCATGCATATGTGTGTTCTTTTAAAACTGTTGCTTGTGGCAGATTACACCCATTTCTTCTCTTCAGAATTCGCCATGTCTTTGAAACAAGAACTTCATTTGGGGCACTGCAGATTTGAACAGGAGCAAATGAGGGGCCAACAAAAGGCTATACAATACACATGAGGCAAAAGCATGTATTATAAAAATGGAGAGGGGTAACTCAAATTTGAACCTCCACATTAACTGACTACTATTTGCAA